CATAAGTTGGCCACTTCCTCCGTTTCTGAGTCTTCACTCCCGGAGCCGTCGTTCTCCCAAGAGATGTAGGCACGTTGCTTCTTCGGTGCCCTCTTGTCCTTCTCGTTCTTGAGCTTCGGACACATTGGTTTGATGTGTCCAATTTCACCACACCCATAGCATTTGGGTGGAGTGTTCTTCTTGGCTCCCTTCTTGAGCATCATCTTCTTGAATTTTCGGACAAAGAGTCCGAGGTCGGTGTCGTCGCTGTCATCATCTTCATCATCAACGTTGTTGTGGGTTGATGTTGTTGCGGGTAGAGCAATAGACCTCTTGTTCCTCTCTTCAACCACCTTTGAGAGTTGGGTGGTTTCGTAGGTAATAAGATTACCTCGAAGAGCATCATAGGTCGTTGTTTGGAAGTCACGACCTTCTTCAATTGCGTCCACCTTTGAACGCCATTTAGGGGATAGGCTTCGTAGCACCTTTCTCACGAGCTCTCGGTCGGTGTAGGTCTTCCCGAGAAGATTGAGAGGATTAATGATGTTAGAGAACCTCTCAAACATTTCCTCAATCTTCTCATTTTCCTTCATTGAGAAGAGTTCGTACTCGTGAGTAAGATGGTCGATTTTGGCCTCCCGAACCTGCGCGGTTCCTTCGTAGGTGACCTCCAATTTCTCCCACATTTGTTTTGCGGTTTCACACCGCAAAATTTTGCGGTAGTCATCCGCATTAACACCGCAATAAATCATGTTTATTGCCTTTGCGTTGAGCTCCATCTTTTTGCAATCTTCGTCGGTGAACTCCTCTTCGGTTTTGGGAACGTTGATCTCACCGACTTTCTTCATCGGAACTCTGCAGCCGTTCGTCACAATCAACCACAGCTTGTAGTCGTTGGATTGGATAAAAATTCTCATCCTCTCCTTCCAATATGAGTAGTTTGTTCCATCGAACAAAGGTGGCCTCGTGGTTGATTGTCCCTCGGTAACTCCTGCGTTGAACATCCTTGATGCCATTTGATCTTTTAGCTCCTGAAAAAATAACGTATTCGAAGAACTTCCTGCTCCGATACCAATTGTTAGACAAA